TTTCTTTTTTTCAAATAAAGGTCGTCAAGAATTAGTAGCAACTGGTTCTCTTCTTTCATTTAATCATGATCGTATTATATTGAAAAGACTAGTATTAAGTGGACATCCATTTAAAATTCATAAAAGATTATCTGTTACTCGATATATGTTTTTTTAATTCTGTATTGTTATTTATTAATTAAATATAAAGATAAGATTTATTTTAATATAAAGGTACACATGGTCATATGAAATATCTATTTGATGGAATATTTAATTCACAAGATACTGTATTTATGAATCTCTATAAAAGTGTTTATCCGAAATGGATATATGAAACCATTGTCGATTCAACAACAAGAAAATAATGAAGATATTCAATGATTTATTTCGTTTCGTTTTATATCATTAAATTTTTTTTCTTCGAAAATAAATAAAAAGAAGAATTTTATATAAAGAAATTCTTTTAAACAATATTTTCGAATTGTTAAAATATATATAATTTGTTAGTATCATTCACATTTATTTCATAAAATAATTATTTTCATTGAAATATTCAATTAATTATACAAATTATTTTTATCAATAGTAACATGAAAAGATCTTTTTTATTCATTGATGAATATATCTTATCAGAACAATTATTTTTCTTATTTTTTTTCGTTTTTTTAAATTCAATCTTGGTCTATACTTCTACTTATAAGAATAATGGGAATTGTTTTGCTTCTTACATCTATTCTTTTAGAAAGTAAGAAAAATTTGTTGTTTTTCACAATGATTTTTTAATTGAATTTCTATAATATAAAATATCGAGTTATCGAGTGTTGTTTCGAAGAGATCTTTTGTTTTTGTGCATTCAATCATTCGCAAAGGTAGTCAATCTCATAAATCAATTCAATTACTTGAAATCAGTCTTTTTTTCTGTTTGAATAATACAGAAAAATGTTCTAGCCAATCTTAATAGTTAATATTACAACCGATAAGTTGCCAGTAAGCAATAACTTATGAGATTATCAATGAAAGACTATTTTTCCAAATAATTTACATATTATATAGTGTTATGAAAGGTTTTTGGCCAGACTCAATCAATTCAAATTTGTAATTAGTTTCTCGAATTTGTTTACTTGATTTATTGGTGTAATGAAATCTTTTTTGGGACATTTAATAAACATTATCGAATTCAGATTTCAGTTCGTCAATCATGAATATTTTTGATCAAACCTTATAAAAAATCGCGATTTATTCAAATAGTTATTGCTTGATCAATGAATCAAAGTTCATGATTTTCCCATTATTAGTTACTTCGGAAGATAACGATCATTTGTTCCTCCTCATTCGAGTAGTCACAATCATTTTAGATATTATTCCAAATGAATAAAATGATGAAATCGACTTTTCCCTCGGTTGTTTGTAAGACAATCGACTGAGCAGCTACCAGGATATTAAAATCGATGGTAATCTTTTGAAAATTTTCGACATCCAGAACGGTTCTTGTCTAGTTATCTTTATTGTTAGGTTGTCTATGATCATTTTCTACAATTTTCATTTAAAACATTTCTCAGAACTAACAAAATTTTTAAAAAAATCATCTCATGCTTCATCGGTTAGCATAGATAAATGCATCGATTACAAAATCGATGTAAACATTGTCATGCATAATATTATCAAAATGTTATCAAATTGAGATAGATCGTTCTTCATTGAGTTCAATAATTTACTGATTAAGATAACCATAGAAATGTTTAAGAAAATTCAACTCAATTCCATTTTACCATTCATCACATAAAAGACAACGGATGAGTCAATGATGAGAAAAACAACTAGAATATATATTTAGATACGGACAAGCATCATTATCATGTTTATATTAGCTGAGCCATCTGAGTATTCTATTAAGAACAAATAAATATTAATAATGTATCAATGCCGGATTGAATAATAGCATCAAGGATAATATTCATATTTAAAAAGATGCATATCAGTTACTGTTGTTTCTCTAAGAACAAAATATCCAATTCACAATCAATTAAAACAAGTTGATCAACGATAGACCTATCAGAGGTCCAACCAGGCCCACGTTTTGCAAGGCTGGCCTGCCTATCATTTTCTTCGGCCTGCCTATCATTTTCTTCGGCCTACCTAGCAAGTAAGCCAACATAATTATACTAATATGATATAATTAAGTATTAGTCTTCATAGAAAGTCCAGCAAGTTAATGGAATCAGTTTAGATGACACAAGTAAAAATTTTCTGATGTCAATATTCAAGAAAATATTTAAAAATGTTCACTATACAGAGATGATTCTCTCTTATCTGTGCAACAGATGACATAGGAAAGGAGTAGAATAAAATAAAGTTGACCACAGGAAACTTTTTTCAAGTTGTTCAAAGTCAGAAAAAAAGCATTCATATGTCATTATCAGGAAGCTTTCACTAAGAAATGATTGACTTCTGAACAAAAATGGGTCAGCGTGAATTCAGATTATTCACTATAATGAGATGTTCACATTGTAGAGACGTTCATGGTGTAAAATTTTACTCTACATTTAATATGAAGTGAAAAATATAAGTGTCGAGGCAAATAAAGAAACAGACACACATTAATATTGAGAAAAACAATCTGTTTTTTTCTTCAAAAATATTTTCGAAAAATCTGACAGACAAATCTAAAACAAAAATAGACCGTTCAACGTCAGCTAAATTAACTGTGGTTTAAAAACTGGTCCAGAACAAGTAATGGTAAATGTGGAAAAGATGATTCAACATGTGAGGAAATAGACTCCCTACTAAGATTTTACTTTTTTTTCTGTGCATAACTATTACACGACGAGTTCGAAAGTGATCACTGGCAGAATTAGCCCTAATGCCCGTATTAACTCTGTACTCATATGGTTTGAAATAGTTAATAAACATACTGTATCCCATCGTCGATAATAATTTGATCTATTTAACTATCGTTATAGTGATCGATCAAGCTAGTTTTTAAACAGTTGACAGTGATTTTTAAGCACTCTGAAATGATAAAAAAACGTCGAAAAGATAATTCTTCAGATATGACTTTCAGTTGTCTGGACTAGTATTTGATAGATTTCAACCAGAAGTACAGCTTAGGTAAAAACTAAAATCATCTTATGAATCAGTATTTAACATTGAGTAGACTTATGCCAATTTTGAATATTTTTATCGTCCTTTTCTCGTTGAAACGTCATCCATTCTCTCCAGGATTAAGTCAAAAAAAAATGAAACTCGCTAAGCGTGTTTCTGATGCTTACACGAATGCTGTTTTTTGTTCTAGTGTCATTGTGCAGCCTTAGAATTCTTTTCCATTAGTGAAACTACTTTTTGATGCGATTCATATTTGGATTTAATCTTGATGGATACTTGGGTGCTTTTTTCGACGATAGAAGGTCAATAAAAAGATTGAAAATTTTCATTAGTCTACTTAATGTTGAATGCTGATTCTCAAGATGATTTTAGTTTCTATCCAAACTGTACTTCTGATTGATGTCTACCAAATATCAGTCAAAGACACTCAAATTATGTCTCGAGAAATGTTTCCCTCGGGTGTTTTTTTTACTGATCATTCATTTTTTCTCCGATGTTCACTTAACATTTCGAATAGCTTAAAAATCCTTATCAAGCTATATGAAAGTTAGTTTAGTCCACTACCATATTGACAATTAAATAGACCTGATTATCATCAACAGTCAGACATAATACACTAATTGATTATTTCAAACGATCTAAGTACAGTGTAAACAGTTGCAAGAGAGCGAATTCTACCAGCGATCACTTTCGAAACTCTTGTTTAATAATTTTGCTTAAAAAAGACTTTCTATGAGAAGTTTTCATCGACTATTGAGCTCCTCTCTTGTGCTGAAAATCTCTTCATATTCACAGTAGATTTCATTGTTTATATCTATCTTCAATATTTATTCTCAAGCATTTATCTAATTCGTCATATTTAAATGTCATCCTTCAAAACTACTCAACTAAATTTGTTTTCTTGAGTTAAATTCAATTTATGCGACAAATTTTTCATATCGAAGAAAAAAGTAGATAGGCCAGGCGGCCTGGCCTGCCTGTCACAGGCAGGCCTAGTGGTCTGATTGGGGCTCTGAAACCTATCTATAATATCTTAATAAGTTTCGATAATAAATTTCATAGGTATTTTTCACAAATTATATATTATCACATAAAGAGGCATTTGAAGCTCATTCATTACGTGTTGATCATGGCAATAAATCTTATCCATGATTTTTGTTATGTTCTTTGTTTGATCAATCCGAAAGAATTACCTTCTCTATAGTTAACTATATTCGAACAAAAGATATGCATCTTCATAAACTTCAATTAGTATATATAAGATAATTATTGTTATATGATTTTATTTGAAAATAATAGGATAGAGCAGTCAATAGATCATAACCGTTTCTACAACAATATAGAAAAACTCATTGAGATGTAATGCATTTTATAGATTGACTTTATAACCTAATTTTAACAAATGCATTTAAGTAGAAGACATCATATTTTTCTCGATAGTAAGTAACTCATATAGACAACCAAGACAAGTAAAAAAGAAAAACGAATACAATAAAGTATTTTTCGTATCTGTCGATAAAGATCGTTCGTTCGTCTAATTTTCGGTATTGACAAACAAAAATCGATCATAATAAAAGTATAATCGTCAGCATTTTGACTTATGTTTCCCATGGTTCATGAATTTAACAACATATTTGAATCTTTCCGATAGACTTTTTTTATCAAAAGTTTTCCATAGTAGTAGTAGAACACAGGCAGAAGTTCACAATCAATCAATTTTGCATCAAAAGATAATTTCAAAAAAAAATTTTTACTCGATATTGACATTGATCATTACTCATCATTAATATATACGAATCCTTTTTTTCACTCATTCATTATTTTTAAGGCTACAGAAAGTAAATTCAAAAATTTCCTTCTTTTTATCCTTATTCATAAATAAAGACATAAACGACAACAAGAACAACCACAATTGTTTATGATGGTGAAGGTGCTAATGAAGCTGTTGACGATAGTTCTGATAGTGGTCGTGCAGATGGAGTTGGTGGGCGATCAAGAGCTGATGTTGCTGATGCCTGTTTTTCAGCTGCTTTTTGCAGGACTATGACCGATAGGTCACGGAATTGAGCGTCGGTCAGTTGTGGCGATTGAAGGAGTAAAATCATCGCCGCATATGTTATTGTCTCTGGAGCAACGGCATATGATGGTGGTGATGATGATGTTGACCGCTGTAAAAAAGAAGACTGTTATATTGTGGTATATTTGGTATGTGTTAAATAAGAAGCTTGACCTTAAAATCACGACTATAGCAGCGACACATTTTTTTCCAGAGAAAAGTTGGCAACGATAAGATGGATGTACGATTATATATGTCGATAAGATACTAGGGGAAGAGCGGAGTGAAAAATGAATGGACGAGGAAACTGTTTATACTGATTGAATAGGGCACGCGAAAGAAAAAGGAAAGAAAAAAGTTCGTTCTTTGTCTTATTATTCATAATTGGGAATTTTTCTTTCTCTCATTAGTTGTCCTGCACCTCGTCTATGTTGTAAAAATAAGACAATTTGACCTTTTTTCCATAGGCGGCGGAACGATTTCAGTCTAGAGTAGGCTCAACTTTTCAGTTACACGTAGGTTGGGAATAGAGCTGCCAACAGGCCAGTTTTTTTCAGCTGGCCGTGGCCTGCAGGCTTTTGAGAGAATCGAATAAATTTATCAAATATTTTACTACTTTCATGAATAAAATTGTACAATGTGCATCAGACTTCTTTTTATTATCTCACCCAAGTCGTGATCGCATATTTCTCCTCAATTAAGATGATGAAATTGCGAACTTTTTCAAAAAATAGAAAATCAAAAGAAACACTGCTGAAAAAATAGCCTTGCTTATGCAGACAATTAGTCCTTCAAAGCCATTCTACTTTCATCAGGGTTCTTCCGTAACAGTGAAAAATATATACTGAGATAAATATAAAATAAAAATTGAAAAATAGCAAACAGCATCAAACCAGGTTAGAAATGTTTGCTGCTTGTCTTTGTTTGCTCAATGATGCTCGTTGGATTTTATTATTTGTCAGTTTCATTTTTTATAAGAAAATATTACCCTTCCCTGTTGAGACACATTCTAACTTAATCATAAGTCAGCATAAAAATACGAGAACAGGCAAATTAGTTTATAAGAATCACTTATCCTAAAGAGAAAATATAGCCTTTTGAGTTGACGTAAACTCTACAGCTAGGTACCACTTTGAATTTTCATTGTTAATACAGAAATAGAATGGATGAGACAATTGAATATCACCAATGATCATCATTGTCATTCATCGCAGGACATAGTGAGGTCACACATTCACAATTCTGTTTACAAAAAGACTCACATAAAACATCGGAAATCAAGGCATGTAGTAGATGTTTGTTTTTAAAATAAGCATGCCATTTTAAAATTTATAAGAAATTTTAAAATAAAGATTCAACTGCAATCACTTTATCCAAATATTTTAAACTTGCAATGCCACTTCGAATCAGAATGGATCAATGCACAAAAAATTTCACTACATGTCGTTCAGATTCCAAGTGTGGGTGTGGGTGTGAACGAGAAGAACAGCCATTCACACACCCACACCCACACCTGTATAGGTACAGTGATAGAGTCCCAACAGTATCGGAAGAGTGATATACTTATGAGGATATCGGCAAAATGATATGTTCAAAAGAGTACAGGCAGAATGATACATATCTTTGAGGATATAGGTACAATGATATTCTCGCAAGAGTATAGGCAGGATGATATATCTATGACGAGACAGGTCGAGGGATACACTTACAACACCATAGGCAGAATGATATATCTATAAGGATATACGTGACGTCATATACTCACAAGGCTAAAGGTAGAGTGCTATATTCATGAGGAAACAGGTAGCGTGATGTTCTCACAAGAGTATAGGTAGAATGATATATCCATAAGGATAGAGGTAGAATGATATACGCACAAGAGCATAGGTAGAGTAGTGTACCGAAAAAGGGTATTAGTGAAGTACTATATCCATGCGGGTATTGATAGATTGACCTATCTATGAGGATTGGAATTGAATATTATATTCATGACTGTTTTTCTTCACGAATAGAGGTGTAAATTGTGAACTTTTTCGTGCTCTCTGTCGATTTCAAGTAGTACCAGGTTGTTGAGGTCTAGTTGTTAGATGGTTATATTTAGCTGGAAATACCGGTAAGTGTGTTTACAGATGAAAATTTTCTTTAGAGTGAGAAGTTAATTTGAATATAATTCACTTATCAGTATTCGACAGTATCAGTGATGTGAATAATATGGGTCTATGAAGAAATCTTTTGCATTCCTATTAGACGGTCGTGTATGACCATACAAGATCGTACGATTCGCTCATATGTGGATCTTACTGTAAGATCTGATGTAAAATTGCAGACATGACGATTTTCCATACGATTTTTCGTATGATCAAATAGGATCAGGTACGATATTACTGTAATATCTGATACGGACTTACAAGAATCTGTCATGGATCTTAGGGTCTGATTTCTAGACCTGGATGGTCTTGGAAGAATCGTACATCAAGACTTGATATAAATTTTGCAGACACGAAAATTTCTCGCACGATTGGCGTCTGATATTACAAGATCATACACGATTACACTTCTAATTCCAAGATCTTACGTCTGACTTTTTTAGGTGGAATTCCCCATAATCCGAGCCCACCCAATCCTATTGGTTCAGAGCAGGGCTCGAAAAACATCTGACTGGCTAAATCATTGCCTCCTGAAATCCTATTGGTTGAGTGTGGGCCCAGAAAACATCTGATTGGGCTGTTCAGCAGAACGTTCGTTGAAAAAGACCAATCACTGCGACGAAGTCTGTTAGGCTCAAAGAGGTTTCCAGTTTGGGAAAGATCGAGTGAACATTTTTTTCTTTCTGTGCGAACAAACGAATTCACGAACGAACGTAACAACTCATTTTTCGTAAGACCCTTCTTTCAGTAGAGGGAATAAGAATGGAAAAAAAAAAAGAATTGATTTAATATAGATATAGTAAAAAAAAGCATAAGGTGAATATGTGACTATGATTATCTGCATGAAAAGCAGCTATAGTTGATTCTATTTTGAATAAGATACAAATTGATTCATTATATCTTTTATTGAAATAATAAAGTTCACTGGAATCCATCAGATCAAAGTGGATGTGGAAGTGGAGTTTGACATTGACATTGACATGTAACGAATATTGTAAAGATTAGAAAAATTATAATTCGTCGGAGATGTGACGTTTTACATATGCGTCCTTGTATTGAGAATCTGCTGCTTATGTAAAGTATGTCAGAGTACGATTGTTTACAGTATGATGCTTTCGTTCTTTTCTTGACAGTGCAATCAGCTGTTTTAAATATTTCTATAGTAAATATTTCGTTACAAATTTATATGTGATTACAGTCATTTTAGTGTGTTATGTCTTACTATAAAAGATAATAACATAGTCTTATGATATTTTGTCGATTTATCTCAGGAATAGATGGAACTAAGAGAAATATATGTGATGTTGGAATCTCGTAACGAAGGAGGTCAAAAGGTATTGATGAAGAATTCAAGACAGTATGATTGAAGTAGTTGCATCTACTCATGAGTAGACTCCATCTAATCATAAACGTCGTTAATCAGAATGAATGATAGTGAAGAAGTTAGTTATTATTGATTGAATAGATTCATTTTAGCGATTTATTTCTCTATCTTGGCATAGTGACAATAAAAGCAAAGTACAAGCAAAAAAGCGTAAATCAATAGATGATGAAGAGGTTAAATCTGGATCATTTCGTTTACTAAATAAATAAATAAATAAATTTTGTACTTTAGGATGAGGACGACGAAGAAGATAGGAATAAACGAAAAAAAAAGAAATTTTTCGGAAAAACGTTTATTATCCATGAAGCTGGTTTGTTCATCATGTAGAAAATAAGCAAATCTATTTATTTTTATTTTATAGATATTGATGAAGAAGAAGATGCACCTGAAGAAGGTTTTGTCGAACAATCAGATATTCACGATACAACAGCAGCAGATATCTATCGAGCTGAAAAGTGAAAATTTCCTATAGCTGAAGAGTTTGTTTAGTTTTTTATTTTAAAGATATTCTATTTTATCCATATTTAAAGTGATATGGATCCATCTGAAATGGAAAAATATTGAAAGGGGAACGTTATGGTCCGAAAAGTTGAGGAGGACGTGTAGATGAGGATGATCAAATTCCAGATGAAATAACTCAACAATGTTTATTACCTGATGTCAAATCATCGAATCTTTGGCCTGTTAAATGTCGAATTGGAGAAGAAAACCAAACAGCTTTATTACTGATGAGAAAATATCTTCCTTTGAAAAATAATGAAAAAGTAAAGAAAAAGAAATTTTCTGATAACGATAAATTAATTTGTTTTATAAAGGCATTGCAAATAAAATCTGTCGTTGTAAAAGAAGGTGATTGTAGTTATATTTATATTGAAGCATTTAAATCTAATCATGTCAAAGCAGCATGTGAAGATATTCGTTCATTAAATATTTCAAATCTTCAAATGGTTTCAATAAAAAAAATGACTGATATACTTCGTGTTATTAACACAACATATGGAATAAAAAAATGGATTATGGATACGTGTTAAGCGTGGAATTTATCGAGATAATTTAGCTAAAGTTGAACATTGTAATGTGATTCAAAATATGGTTACAATTAAAGTAATTCCAAGAATTGATTATCCAAAAAGACTTGGAGGATCATGTGGAACATCAAATGAACAAAATGATGTTGTTCCACAAACGTTTAAGAAAAAGAATCGTTTTATTATTAAAAGAGCACCTACCAAATTATTCGATATAACAGCGGTGAAGTAAGAATCGTAGATAAAAGAATTTCTTCAACAGATGTTGAATATCGAACATTTGAAGGTGGAAAATGTAATGAGAAAGGATTTCTTATGAAAAACTCAAAAAAAAAGCAATCATGCATTTTGCATAAATTCCAGCTAGTAAGATCATACGTACTCCTTCGAGATAGGAACTATCAATCGTTATGAATAATGAATAAACTATGATAAAAAAGAATTATAGAAATTAAATAATAAGACATCAAAATTACTCATCATGATGAATCCATTAAATTGCATTTGAAATATGTACTGTTTTTACCCTACTCTTTTATTTTTTATGTGCTGTATTAATACAAAAATGCAAGGATAAAAAATAAAGTCTCTTAATTAAAAAAAATGAAAAAATAATATTTGTTTATGTTGTTTATACATATTGAAAAATATATATATCGAACATTAAGTAATTCGTCGGACGACAAGTGCGGAGTTTGATAATTTTGTATCACTTATTTTTCTTTTTTCATCTTCACGTTTTATTTTTGTTGATGGTGGTTCCATAAATTCGAATGCATTAGATCGAAGTGATTGAACATTTTCAGTAAGGAATTTTCGTATATCATCTAATGTTCGATTGAGATCAATTTTAATACATATTGGCTTTGACATATCCGGTAATCGAAGACGAATTGTTGTTGATGACGATGAACTTTTTAAGCGTTTTTCAGCAAGTATCTCAAGACTTTTTTCATCTGAAGAGTCTAACGTTGTATTACCAGATGAAACCATAGATGATTTAAATGGAGTTTGTTCAGCATTAGAAATACCTACAGTATTACCAGAACCACCAAAAGGTTTAAATTTAGGTGCGACATGTTTATATTCTTCATCACGATGATCTTTAAGACGTACCTAAAACAAAATTTTTTTAAACGCACTGTCAGATAAGATAAACATCTTTCATATGAAAAGCTAACCTTACCGTTTTATAGAGCAACTAATGATACATAGAATGGTATATAATATCATCAAGTTTTAAGATTCTTTTGTAATTTTTAGCTTTTTTGATGTTCTAAATTCATCAATACTGCTATTGACAGCAAACGCGACCAACCGTACAACTTTTTCAGAAATTATGTGCCACCAAACTTTCTAAGTGTACTAATTGATGTATGTCATGGTCAAACCTGCTAATTAATACCTAAACACGGTCAATTTTTCAATTCCCACGGAGAGAAAAATATATGAGTTATACGATAAATATTTTTTAGGTTGAAAAGTTTCTATCTATTTGTAATAAGTAGGAAACTTCACCCATTCAAAAGTAATTATCGCAACGCTTATATACTTTTCTAATTTTAGTAATCGAAAAATTGGTCTTCTGTAGATATCAATTAATGGATTTGATCATGACATGCATCAATTCAAAAGAAAACGAATTGGTACACTTATAGTTTGATGACATATGGTTTCTGAGAAAGTTATGTGGTTGGTCATCTTTGCTCTGAGGAGCACTATCGAAGAATTTTAATCATTATAGAAGCTGATAAACATAGTAGAGTTTTGGAAAAGATTAAAGAGAAGACAAAATTCTGTTGAACTAGCTTTACACAAAATTTCATATATGAGTCTAGTAAGGAAGAAAATACTCTAGAGTGATTCGAATTGCTGAGATATTGAACTTTTAGTACCTTTTTCCTGTAGGACCATCATATACAAGTGAAATTATACTTTTGAATTTTCACCTGAAACTTAGGCCGTATTAAGGCATTGACTAGACTAGTTTGTAGAAAAAATTTCAGAACTTTTTGAAAATATCTCTCCGAAATATGAATTGTTTAAACTATAGGCACTTTGTAAGATACTGGATCAAAAATAATTTTGAATTTTTTTTTCTACAAGCTAGTCTAATCGGTGCCTTTATGTAGACAAAGTTTCAAATCAAAATTGAAAAGTATAGTTGCGCTTAAAAACTTAGGCCCTATAGAAAAAGTTCACTAAAGATTCAAAAATCTCAGTAACAAAGATCGAACAGCTCGAAGACGACTTATCACTTAGAGACCTTTGATCATGAGTTCTAATATATCACTCACAAATACTATCATATCCCTTTCACTAATATATGACTTTCGAGGATATTAAAATAAAATTGTATTGACTAAATAGGCTAGGAGTTGCTCTACAAAACAATACAGTCGACTTTTCCAATAAAGGATGTTGATTTTATCCATCAGAGCCCTCGCGACTGCTTACTTGAACTTGTCGTCCACCTTTATTTAAATTTCTAAGTTCAGGTGGTACTTCACCACGTTTAATATAATCCATAAATTCTTGATTATCTTCTATTTTACGTAGTTCACGATCACCAACAGTAAATCCATTTGAATAAAATCGAATTGGCATATCTTCTACTTGATTAGATGTAGCTGCTGCAGCTGCTGATGATGATTGTTCTTGAGTACGCGATGGTGTATGATCATTTCCTATGCATAGTAAAGATTAATATGAAATTGATTATTTCGTTTTCTTTTCTCTAATACTACCTAAAGAATATCCAACACCTGCAAATGGTTTTTCTGTTTTTTTATGAGATGATGAAGTATAGTCATCGTCATGAACTTCTGTAGCTCCTTGTTTTCGAGCTGCTTCAAATACATTAGTTACTTTTTTATTATTATCTTTGCTTTTTGGTGGTCCAATAATTTGTTGACCACTATGTTCTGAACCACCAGCATAAAAAGCTTGACCTTAAAAAACAAGAGAATCTTTTTTTTTTATATTATTAACTAATTATCAATATTAATCAAATAACCTTCATCATCTGAAAAATTGTCATCATTATTAAAAGTATTTATATTAGATGATATTATTGATTTATGACTATTAATTCTTTTTGGAACTATTACTGGAGATTTTTCAGGTGGTTTAATACGAAGACTGTCTTCAAGAGCAGATTGTAATAAATCATCATCTAAATCATTATCATCTGTTCCACTAGATACAGTCTTGTCTATGAATAAGAAGAAACAAAAAAAGAAAACAAGCATTCATCTTTGATGTTACCATGGTAAATAAAAAATTACTACAAACCAGGAATATTTTGATTAGTTTTTGGTATAGATGATGTGAATTCTGTTGAAGGAAACGAATCACGACGTTGAGTATCACCACTATCAAGAAAAAAATCTAGAGCTGCTTGTTCATTCCATTCTGCAGCTTCTAAATATTGTGCTGCTATTTCTCTTGAACATTGTGCAATATCAATAAAATTGTTGATAAGTTCGTCTTTATGTGTGGATGACATCCAAATATCTCAAATAAGATATGAATTGTGTTTAGTTGGAATTTTCTTGTTTTTGACACGATAGAACAGAAACAACAGTTTTTTAAAGAAAAGGTTCGAGAGCTTCTTCTTACTTCTATTCTTCCGAAAGTGATGATTCATCGATATATCTATTGGTTACAACATTCAACAAATCTCAAATTTTTTTTCAATCATAAAAAAATAAGACTAATTATCAAATTCGAACAAAAATCAATTGAATAATTCTAAATTTTCTAATTCAAATAATTAGTTTTTTTTATTTAATTAAATTCCTATGATTATCTTCTCATTGGTTGATTACCCTTGCTATCAGTGATTTTTATTGGTAAACAAAGAAGAAAGCTTAAGAAAGTGTTTTCTTTTCTTCTTCTTTTTTCTTTTTTTTTTTTATCATTGTCCGATCGTTTTGTTTTGTTTTGAACGAAGTGAATTATACCAATTATAGTGTAGAAACACTTCAAAACGTTCCATCCGACATCATCCTACGAGCTAACAGACTTGTGTTTGCGTCTGTGCTCGAGTAATGTATGATTAAATAGATTAAATTTCATAAACTCAATAAAATTTTGTCATCTTTCAGATTAATATGAAGGTACAAAAATTATCAAATGTTAATAAAATAAAAAGAAAAATAAAATAATTCTATTTCTTTTTTTTTGTTTTTTTTTATGTAGCGTACATTTTCAGGAGATGAATTCGATACAAATGGTGATGGTATTGGTAATTCAAATTCACAAATAACTGATATTAATAAAAAAGTATAAGAAAATAAAAAAATAAATAAAATATAAATTTACTAATAATAATTGATTAGAGTCGTTCGGAACCAACATTACCTTCTCGTGTTGTTCATTTACGAAATATTGAAGCAAGTGAACTTGAAGTTGTACAACTTGGTCTTCCATTTGGTCGTGTAACAAATTTTCTTAATTTACGAAAAAAATCACAAGTAAATACATCTTAATAATTTCATTTTTTTTTTTATTGATTTATGTTAATTTTTATAATTTTCTTAAGGCTTTTCTTGAATTTGATTCAACTGAATCAGCTAAACAAATGGTTGAATATTTAACATCAATGCCAGCTATGATTAATGATCGACAAGTATTTGCACAATTTTCTAATCATGGAGAACTTCGTACAGATCCAACTAATCGTACAAATCAACAAGCACATGTTGCATTAGCACAAGCAACAGATCTTTATGAAACAGCACAAAAAGGTGGACCGAATTGTGTATTACGTGTTAGCATTATTAATATGTTATATCCTGTTACAATTGATGTATTACATCAGGTAGAAAAAGAATAAAATTGAAATTCAATAAATCTTTTTTTTTTGAAGATTTTCAGTAAATTTGGTACAGTACTGAAAATAATTACATTTACAAAAAATGGTATATGAAAAGTTTGTTTTTTTTATATAAATAAAGTTTTATTTTTTTCTATTAGATAAATTTCAAGCACTTATTCAATTAAAAGATCCAACTGGAGCTGCACAAGCTAAATTAGTAAGTTACAAGTTAATACAGTTGTTAGTGTAAATTCTATCGGATTAAAATATGATACACGATAGAGATGTTATTCACAGTGTCAAGAAGAAAATCGCAAATGTTTCATTCTACAAGATATTGAAATTGTTTTTTTTTTACAGATACTAGATTAGAGTCTGTCGAGTTGTACTTTGATGTTTTGAATGAAATATTCTAAGCGACATTCAAAGATACGAGATGATTTTTTTTGTATTCAATGAATAAAGATCAATCCAAGAAGTTCTATATTGGGCACTACTTTTTATCTCCCTCCAATCGAATAGAATACTGAATGTATCTTCGAAAATGCTATCGTTCTTTTGATTGAAGCTTTTTGTTTTTTCTTGTAAATCTTAGGAAAAATCAGCGATGTGTTATATTTTAAAACAAAAGCACTTTTTGGTATAAGTATAAGAAATTTTTAGCTTGGTCATGATTGACAAATAGGAGTGATTCTTGATTTTTTTGAAAAATAGTGAAAGAATGTATAAATTTTGATGTTATCAACTTTTATCGTTATGTATTAATTCTTAAAATATGCCGAATAGATAGAAGAGAAGGAAACAAAAAATTTAAAATTCTCGGTGGGAACAAATGAGATCCTATTAAAAATCTATATGATTTCAGCAGTTTTTTGGATTGAAATATCTAACAAATCACTCATTTATTACTAACCAATCAGAGTTAAATTTCCATGATTTCTTTTATACATAAAGCATAATGTTAAATTATACGATGAATATTTAATTAAGAGAATATTTCTTCTCGTATTCTATCTAAAACTAAATATTCGAAAATTTTAACCTTAATTGTACTTTTTTCCGTCACCTTTTAATGAAAAGTTGTTTAGTCGAATCATATGTTTGCTTATAATTCATTTTCTCTCTTTCTAGCAATTACATGGTCAAAACATATACAATGGTTGTTGTACTGTAAGTACTCTATAGAAATTTCTTTGAAAACTATTTTCTAATATGATATTTAGCTTCAAATTGAATATTCAAAACTTCTTTCACTTACTGTTAAATATAATAATGATAAAAGTCGAGATTATACTAATCCAACATTACCATCAGGCGAAGGAACTATGAGTCAACAAACAGAATTAGGTTAAATTGTTTTATTTTAATTATAATATAATCAATTCTAATTTATAGATCGAATGCATTCAAGTGCTGGCCTTCTTCCATTACAACGAACAACATCTAATGAAGATTATCGTTATGGTAAAAGAAAAAATGTTATTTATTTATTTTTTTCTCACAATAATATTTTCATTTTTCAGATTATTTTACAGCAGCTGTAGCATCACGTGGTCGACCTCCATCAACGGCTGGAATCACTCCTGGTTATGATATACCAGGTAAGACACATCTCTTAATCTAAACAGTAATGTTCGAAAATAAAGAGTATAGAAAGGCAATCATTAATTTTTAATACACAAATGGAATATGTGTAAGTCGATAGAAAAACGCTTCCTCTACCTAAAGGTGCATGTATAATCAAATTTTTATTGCGTACCATTGAAATGTCTACAGACGACGCCACATTCGTCGTGATCGCTATCGTATGGAGTGCTGGCGATGCCCTCTATTGACAGCTCAGTAGTATATCAGGAATCTTTTTTCTACTAACCTTTAAACATCTCATTCTGGGATTAAAAATAATTTCGATGGTACGCAACGGTCTTTTGGACTTCTACACTATATAAGTGTTCCAGGAATCTGAGAAATCGATTGTGAGTAAGTGTAAATGTGAAAGAATGGTGTGTTGTCGTTGATATGGATAGTGCTGTCAATGGCAGCCGCACTTCGACCTTCATAAAAAAGAAAAACTTCAATTATTAACTATGATGATTTTAAAATTTAAACGAGCTCAGACTTTCTCAGCAATTTGGCAAAACAATACGAGCTCACACTTATGCATATCGAAAATTTTAGAAGACTTCACAGTCGAAGTCTCTATTTGCCTCTCTAGAGTCATATTAGTCTTTGCGCACAGATCATACATTCATAACATCTCGTTATAAGATATGGATTGCATCCTTATTGTATCTCTGAAGGATAAAAAAAGAAATATATAGAATAAAAAACTGTTCCTATGCTTAATAAAATCAACTAAATCCTGTTTTACATTATAATCTCATTGGAATTATACTGACAGGTTCTTTTTATTATTTGTAATTTTATCTAGCTAATGCTAATCATTTAATGAGTCCACTTCAACCAACGCCTACTGCTTATAATCCAATGGTAGGTGCTGCAGCTTCTCCATATGGTCATCCATATGCATCAGCTCATCCTCCTCCTCCACCACCTATTCATGGTTTACCACCAACACATCTACAATCTCAACAACAACAAAATCCTCATATGATATCTGTTCAAAATGGTCCCGTTATTCTCGTATCAAATCTAAATGAAGATGTAAGTAAAAAGAAAATATTAAATAATATTTGCAAAAAAAATCTTTTTTCTTTATTGAATAAGATCGAAAAGAAAAAAAAACTTCATATCTTTCTAATATATCTATTCATTTCTTCTCTTTTTTTTCCTCTTTTGGACGATTAGATGACGACTCCAGAGTCCTTATTCACACTATTCGGTATGTGTATCTTCTCTTTCTTTTCTCATTCTTGACTGACTTATCTCAACGAGAGAAAATAAATTGTTTCCAAAAAAAGAAAAATTTCTTTTTTTTTTCTTCAATTTTTCATAGGTGTTTATGGTGATGTACATCGAGTAAAAATTTTATTTAATAAAAAAGATTCAGCATTAATTCAATATGCAACATCACAACAAGCAGCTGTTGGTAAATATAAATTTTTAATTTTAATAAACATAAATTTATAATAATTTTATTTATTTAGCTCATCAAAATCTTGATCATATAACAATGTTTGGAAAACAAATACGAGTTTCATTTTCAAAACATCAATTTGTACAAATGCCAAAAGATGGAACATCGGTAAGATAGAAAAACAAAAGATAATTATAATAATATAAAGAAATAAATTGCTTTTTTTTTTATGATATAGGATATGGGTTTAACAAAAGATTTTACAAATTCTCCGTTACATCGTTTTAAAAAACCAGGATCAAAAAATTATAATAATATATTTCCACCTGGTACCGTACTACATTTATCAAATATTCCGTACGATAGAAAAAAAAAAAAACAATGTTTTGGTTTTCCTAAGAAAAAAAATTTTTTTTTTTTTTTCTGTTGGGTTTATTTAGTACTGAAACAAATGAGGAAGAAATTCGAAAAATATTTTCACAATATGGAACAATAAAACGATTTAAATTTTTTGAAAAAGATCGTAAAATGGCTTTAATTGAAATGGATACAATTGAACAAGCTATTGCCGCATTAATTGTATGTATTTATTTTGTTTTCGTAATTCTATTTTCAAAAAAAAAAATGATGTTCTATTTTATTCTTATAGAATACACATAATTATCGTTTAGCAGATTCAATGCATCTTCGTGTTTCATTTTCCAAGAGCAAATTGTAAATATTTTGACTCTTTAAAAATAAGAAGCCATCGTTTTTGTTTTTCTTTTTTTGTTTGTTTACTAAAGTTTGTTTCGATGTCGACTTATTGTTCTTGCTCTTTTTTTTTTCTTTTGTGCGAACTAAGTTTTCCTATTCATGTTCTTCTGATGTCTTTTTTTGATTCAAAAATAAAGAAGGCTAGGATATCATGAATAATCAAATAAGGTAAGAAAAGGTTTTTAAATAAAATATCAGTTCAAAAGTTTTGAATTATACGGAACGACTTCAAAGTCGTATTCACGTAAGCAAAGCAACTGCATGAACCACATTATGTGGAATTCTACTGATTGGTATCCTGATACCAATCAACCATATTCGACCAACTTGTTTATGATAGAACTATGGCTCGTCATCTGTCAATACTTTACACAATCGCTATGTTTCTTGATGGAGCCCGAATGAGTTCGACTCGTTAGTTATCAATTTGGAAGTTGAATAGTAAGCCTTTTCAGATTCAGATCATTAGAATTAATTCGTTCAATGATGCTGTTGTTCATACAAGTTTCCAGTTGTATTTCAGTAATACTGACATGAAGATCATGATCAATAACGCATCAAACTTTAATATTCTCAGAAGTTGCCTCAGTTATAGATCGACCGAGTGAAGATTGGTCTCCACAAAATAATATTGACTATCTAGCAACTGTATTAATCGCCAAAAAAGAAAATACAATTCATCAGAAATCAATTGTCGATTGAATGTTAAGTGCAGTGTTCATGTTAATGTAACAATAAAAATTTTGCTCATCCATCTAAAGATAGAAGTGTAGAGCTTCAATTGAAATGTTTCATTCGATACTATCATTTGACTGATAACAATATATATTGCAGACATATTGAGCACTCATGAACAAACTTTTTTCTTAAATTTTCTGTCCTTTGATATAATATCAATATGATTAGTTTTGGTATGCCATAGTTCATCTTCACGAAATCATTTTGAACATCTTTCAACTGTTCTCAAAGATGAAACTTAATTGCTGAAAACAGAATTCAATTGATCATGAATAACTTTTGATTGAATATGAAGTGCTGTATGCATTTCAATTTAGAAGAGAAACTTTTCATTATTTTCCTTATATAAAAATAGCAATAAGCAAACGATGATATAAAAGAAAGAAATATAGTGTATATTTTGTACTATTAGGATATGTAACAAGAAATTTTCTCGAGCTTACAGTACACAATGATAGTCGCGCTGCTCTTATTTTCAATCTGTTCTAAGTACAATAATGTTTCTTTATTTATTCAGCTATTGCGTTCTTTTTGTTCTATTTTTTGCATTAATATAAGAAGAAAACTTCAAACATTACTAATAATATCCAAATGTCTGACATACATCTATCATTAAATCCTATATAAAACTAAATTAATTATGCTATAGTTATATTATATCAAAAAAATGAATAGAATTATTCTTTGTTATTATTTCCCAATAGTCTCATTTCTATTTCACAGTTGAATTGATTGACATCACATTCAATGATAATAATATTCATCATAAAATAGTTTAAAATCATAAAGCGTACTCTTTTTTATTTTATTTTTCGCAAAATCTACAGGACAAAAAAAAACAGAGACACAAATGTATTATGACGATCTTGATTTAATAGATATATATAATGTAAACGAAAGCAGCGGATATAAAAGAACAAACAAAATAACTGTTCAACACACACGAAGACAAAAAAAGAAAAAAGAAAGTTCAGCAGTTGGAATCTGAGACGAAACTTATAAGTATGCATCGCCATATGAAAAAGAATACTGTATATGAGTCTCTGAAAGCGTTCAAGAAAAAGAAAAAAGAAAAGCGTACAAGAAATATTTATATACAAATAAAAAGAAATCATGTTTCTCTTTTAATCGCCTAGTGTTCTTCTTGTGCGCGTATTAAAATCATACACATAGGATAATATTTATAAAGGAAATAATAATAATATGTATGTATATACTGCAGAAAAAAAAATATATAGATAGGAAGAAGAATATGCGTTAATAATTTATTCTAAATCCATATCCGCAGTTTCATCTTCACTAAAATCACTTAATATTTCATCATCTGATTCATTTTTATTTGTTTGATTGGAATTATTTAAATTATTTGTTTGATTATTTGATGATGAATGACAATCGTTTGTTGACAATAAACCATCAGCCATATCTGCTGTAGCAAAACGTTGAACATATTCTATTTCATTAAGAAAACAAAAAAAGTCGATTAATATTCAAAAACATCTTTGTATGTGTGTTTTATATTAAAAACAAACCTCGAACTTTTTTCTTATAATCTTCTGGTTTATGAAGAAACAAAGCTGCAGCATCACCATTTAACGGATCCACCGGATTTGGATAGGCAAGTAATTGCGGAAGAAATGATTCAAATATATTGGTGAGATCTATATTTATAAAAACAATAAGAAAATTCAACATTTATTATCATTCTTCTAAATCTCGAATTAGAGATTAGTAAGAATAATTAACATTAATATAAATATATATGTACATACCATACATTGGAGTCCATGTTTGATTGATTACATCAAGACAAACAGTACCGGACCTGTTGAATTTTTAAATAGATATCCATTTAAAAATAAAATATAGTATTACTTACAGTTCGTCAATGTTTGGATGAAAGATTCGATTCATGAAACCTAGGAAAATATATTTGAAAAAACAACATAGTCAAATCTATAGTAAAAGTGTACGAGGGAATCTCTTCTTCAGATGCTTCCCTTTGATTACAATGACTTTTTTGGTTATAGATATTAAATAGTGTTCGAAAAAAAAACTCTAAAAGGTCTTGGGTTTCTATTGATATTTGACTAACGAGAGAACCATCAGAAATGATTTAGAGATAATATTTTACGCATAGATCTTTCTTCTCGAGTACCGAAAAAATCAATGGTTCATGGAAACTTAACATTTCAAGAAGGAAGCATTGATTTTATCTGAGACTTTCAGGTTACTATTAGACCCATAAGGTCTGCATATGGACAAAATTTTGTAATTTGATTTTTTTCAGTAAACTTCTAGTCATTGGCGGTAAGCCCAATAAAATAGCCATAACTCGAAAGGAAAGATCTATGGGTGAGACATTGATTCAAAAGTTTTGAATCACTTCATTCGTCAACCATCGAGTTTTGATTTGAACTTTTGCGAATATATAGACCTCAACTAGATTAGCTTTCAACAAATACATGATGTATATTCTATCCTTAGAAAAGAGTCTATATCTTGAAAGTTTCGTATCTCAATGTTATTGTGTTGAAAATTTGTAAATTTTTCTATGTGCGTTAGTCTAGTTGAGTTCTCTGTACAGGTAAAATTTTAGATGAAAACTTTGGAGTCTCTAGAAAGCTTACTGAAATCACAATAGAAATAGAAATCTTATTAGAGTTTTGTTTAGAACACACAACACAATATGTATCGACAAAAAAATCATTGACATCCGAAAAGAGTAGATGAAGAGATTCTCTTGTTAGTAGTAAGGCTGCACTAAATCCTAGAACATGACGTCAGAAATGACATTTTGTTTTTCTTTATTAAGAATATAGTTTCTGTGGATTGTTTATATAAACCATGATTAGTATTTTTTTTTTTTCTCTGTTCGAGGCTTAAGTCGACAAGTTAATTCCTAATTACCAAACTTCAAACGATTCTTCCCATAAGCTTTGAACGTTCTGTCAGACGATTTTATCTAATGCAAAATAAAGATTTTAAAATCAGTCGGATTTAGCCAAAAAAATTTCACATTTTATGAACTTTGCCTGCAGTTTTGAATAGAACAAATAATATTGATCATGGTTGATATATGCAATCCACAGGAGTTACATTCTTCATAAAGAAAAAAAAAAAATGTCATCATTGACATTATATCCTACGCATTAGTGCATCCTTTACTAAATAGTTTCAATGTGTGAAAGACTGTTTGTTCGATTCAGATTTTACTCTTGAACAAATTGTTTCCTACTGTGTCATATGAAATATAAGTCATGCATATGTTCGTTAACTTAAGACATGTTAACAATTTCAATCAATTTTTACTTAATGTATTCAATCGAAAATGCTATTATCTTTTTTATTCATACGTATATAATATTTTTATAGCCGTCATTTGTTTCCAGATGTATATAAATGATAAGATCTAGTACTAGGGTGACACATATACCAATAATATGTTTATATATCTATATATATATAAGTCCAAAGTACATATCTATTAGACGATTGATGTTTTCAATCATCGTTTTTCCTTCTTCAAGTTTAAGATATTATCAAAAATTAATCACATCGATATGATAAAATCTTCTATCATATTCGAAATAGTTTTCAACATACCGATTGATGGTGATTTAAAAGGATATTTATCAGGTAGATCAACTCGAATATTCCATATACCACCTTCATAAGGAGCTGAAAGAATAAAATTTTTTTCTTTTTTTTGTTAAAATCAATATTTACTTTCACGTGGTCCAGCAAATTTTACCATGAATTCATTAAGACCCGACATAAGTGTCACTTGATGTTTTGATTCAAGACTAATAGACAAAAAAGATGTTGTATTTGAAAATCAAAAATAAATGAATCTAATCTATAGAAACTTACAGTTTAATAACATCTGTATCTATTCGACGTTTACCAGGCGATGGTGAACACATGTTTGTAAAAAAAATCAGACAAATGAACTATATTTTTAACTATTAATTATTAATCTAGAAATATTCGACCTTGAATATTAACATAGAAAAAGTATGAAATATCTAGTTCAGATAATGAAGACTTATTTTATTTTTGCTTATGAAATCAAATAGAAGCAAAAAATACCAGCTGACTATTGACAATAAAAAGAAATGCTCTACGCCGAATGCTGTCGTGGAGAAAGAAAACAAAACATGTGATCCTGGTTGTACGCACATATGTCGATCGAGCAAGTGAATGATTCTTTCTTGTATATTT